AGTTTACTGTTGTGGTGGTAAGTTGACATAAGTATATCTTGTTGGTATTTGTAGGCCGTTGGATCGGCTGTGGACGGCTGCATGGCCTGGGCGAGGCCGGCGAAGTCGAACTTGTAGGCGTATCGCTTGCCATGCACTTTGGTCATGATGTTCTTGTCGTAATAGTAGCGCAGAGCTCGACTCAGTTTATCATAATTCATATTAGGTTTGCTTTTTCTTTCTCCCCACCGTCGAGCCACTTCGTCCGGGTCTACCAGTTTGAACTCGCCATTAGTGCCTTCCCACGTGATGCAGTTGGAGTTTCCAGTGTCCGAAAGCAACTCGAGCAAAAACTGCCACAGCTGGATTTGCCCACTTCCTGCAAAAATAGCAAATATTTTGAAAACGTTAGCATTGACCATCGAACCAATTTTGAAAAAAAACATTTTCGATTATTATTTATGTAATACTACCAAAATTGTCACAATATTTTTGGTTTGCAAACAGCACACTGAACACGAAAAATGATTGTAAATGGTCTGACAGAAATACTTTCGACATTTTAAACTTAGGCCAGTGTCATTGGAGTCTTCATCTAGCTAATATTCTACGATTATGTATTAGAAAATAATTCACAAAAGGTTTAAAAGGCAATATTTATGCATTGCTTAGCGATTTTTCAGCAAAAATATTTTAAATAACTGAAAAAAAAATATTACAAAATATTCTTAAAACAGTTATAAACAGAGACCATATCAATAGTTAGTCATTGAAACTTATAACATTAATGGATATATATACATATAAAGGTGTATATATATATATATATATATATATATATATATATATATGTGTGTGTGTGTGTGTGTGTGTGTATGTGTGTGTGTGTGTGTGTAGATATCATAGAAAGAAGTACGAGTAACGAGAAAGATTTAAGGAAAAAGGAAATACGAGGAAACTAATGCTAATATCCATTATTTTGATTAAAAAGAACTGAAAATATCGGTCTGTTTAATTTTATATTTTCCTGTTTTCGAAAGAATAGCAGGATGAAGACAAAAGTATTTTGCCTACAGACACCACATTGGTTATTGATAATGACTGGGATAGTCGAAAGTACTTGAGACAAACAATAAAACAATATGACAGTTTATCTACAATTCTGAGCCCACTACTCAACACCTTATTCAACTTGTTTGTTTATGTGTGTGTTCACGCGTGTGTGTGTGTGTGTGTGTCGTTGTTTATTCCGTTTCATTAGAAATGCTTAGTGCTAAAATTGGGTGGACTAAAGCCGATTGGTGGCGGGCTATTGGTAAAATCAATAAAAGATTCATAAAAACATTCTTAATCTTATGAAACGATGCGGATTCAGATGCATATTTCGCTAAAAGATATTCGTGATTATTGTTTCATCTTCCCCCGTGATCACAGAATTTGCAGTAAAGGAAAGGTTTTAATTCTTTTCGTCTGAATTAAACTTTAAATCCATTTTTTTATAAATCAAAGCATCGAAAGTACAACTGCATAAACGCCTAATATGTGTGCGTGTCCGTGTACGCGTATGCGCATGCGTAATTTGCTTGGATAGAATAGGTTGCGTCTGAGTTCAAATTAAGGTCGGCTTGCCATCAGAGAAAAAAAAATCATAACCTTGAAATTCAAAAGGCGAAGAATTAATGGTTCGGTCTGATTCATGGTGTCACCATTTCAGACAACGTCTTGCTCGGTGAAAATCTTCAGTTTCCTGAGGGTAACTAGAGTAGAAATAGGGGTCGAATCCATTTTTTTTTTTGTATAGAAAACTGAGCGTATATAATCCTGTGCGTGACCAAAAGCCGTCTCCTCTTATAAAAGGAAACAGACATGTGCTTCGAGTAGAAGGAAAATCAAAATAAGAAAGTTTTTTTTTTTAAGAGGGAAAGCGAGTAAGAGAAAGTTTGAATGAGAGCAGAAGAAAGAAAAAGAAGCTATGCATGAAAAGAAGAAAGAAAGCAAAAAGAATGTCAGACATAGAATACGTAAACAAACTCCAATTAATTTGAATTTTATCCCCATCTCAGTTGCATTACACCTGACTAAAATTCGTATGTTTTTTTTTTATTTTCTTAACTATAGTTCACCCAATTCGAGGCCCATGAGCCACTCAAGTTAGAGGGTTACTGAGGTTGTTTTAAGGGCATACAAGGAGGAAGAAGTGTATATTATGAGAATATGTAGGATAGATAACAGTTGATCTTAGACTTAAAGAAGTTGTGATTTTAGTGATCATAGAAGCATCTCCGTCCTTAATGCAACAGTACTGTTTATATTGAATAGAGATGATATAACAAGATCAGATATAGGTGGCATTAACAGTTTCAGTTTCTGGTAGGGAATTAAAAACACATGTTTAGTTTGTGAAATATAGGGAGCTCTGGATTAATTATAATTTTATTTATGCCAGAAAAGATTTAAATCATAATGGTCATCGTCTGACCAAGGATTTGTTGACAGTTACATCTGCTGCTTTCACAAGACTGAACTTAATTATCAATAGTTGGCGGCGAAATTTCCTTTATGCGAAAGATGCCTTTCCAGAGTTTGTCATATTTCTTTTTAATGTTCTGTTTTTCTTAAATCAACATAGAATGCAATGATTTACATTAAAGCCTGTTACACTTTCTATTCATTTCGTAAAAGACAAAAAACAAAGAAAAACGAAAGAAAGAAAGAAAGAAAGAAAAAAGAAAGGAAAGTAAAATAAATGAAGAAAAAACGAAACAAAGGAAAGAAAGAAAGATGTTGAAATTGTTTATCTGAATTATTATTGTTGATTGTCTTCCGGCTAGACCATTAATAAAATGAATCTGCGTTGTTCATTTGATCAGTTAAGTCAAATCAATATACAAACTTGTATCGTAATAAATGGAATTTAGTTTTTTCTACTGGGTGAGTTCAATGACAGGTGAAAAACAAAGATACGGATACATATTTATTCAGTTAAGGTTAGTCTAATTCAAAGCCCCGAAAACAGGTCACGCAGTGAGGATCGAAATTGACAGCAAGATGCTATATATATATACATATATGCGAGTGACGCTGAAGTAGTTTAATAAACCAAAATAGATTTACATAAAGGAATAAATAACGGAAGGAAAGCCACAAAATAGAACTAAAAGAAAGAAAGAAATAAAGAAAGAAAGAAAAGATAAAAATGAACAAGGAAAAAAAGAAAGAAAAGATAATGAAAGAAAATGAAAGGAATAAAGAGAAATAAAACATAGCAAAGAAAGAAGAGGAAAAAAGGAGAAAGTCAAATACAACAAATAAAGAAGAACGAAAATAGAAAGTGAATAAATGAAAAGAATAGAAAGAAGAAGAAGAAGAAGAAGAAGAAGAAGAAAGTAAAAAAGAAATAAAGATAAAACGACTATAATAAAGAAAGAAAAAATAATTAAAAAGAAAGAAAGGAAAAGCGAAGGATAATAAGAGAAATAATTAAAAATGAAAAATAAGAATGAAAGAAAAAAGAACGAATAAACTTGTGGAAATGAAAAAAAAAAAAAAAAAAAGAGCAGAGAATAAATAAATGAACGATGGAGAAGAATTAATAAAAAGTATTAAAAACAAAAAAAAATAAACGACGAAAAAAAGAAAGTGTTTAATAAAAGTCACGAAAATAAACTTAAAAGAAAGACAGAAGTAAAGAAATAATGTGGCATGGAAGGAAAAAGAATGATGCAAAATTCTTCATTCTACTTTAATTTGATCGCAGAATTGTCGTCCTTGTTCGTCGTCACTGGTCGCCCTAGGATGTCTGTGACCTCGTTGACAAGAAAGACGAATAGGAAGGAAGAATAGGGGAAACAAGAAAATGTCAAATTTGCGTGCAGTAAACATTAGATGGAAGATTGTCGGTTTCAGAAATGCACATTTAGACCAATTAAAGGGGGCTGCTGATCAATTACGGTGAGTTGAATGACGACAGAATGAAGAGAATGAAAAACCTGAAAGGCAACAAAGATTTTTCTTTGACGCCATTTTTGCATCCGACTCATACAAAAGAAATAACAGTCTTAAGTTGTCTGAATTTCTCAGATGAAGCATTTCCATTATTCATTTTTCACTAGTTCTTCTCCTTAGCTTAATATTATTCTTATTATTTTTTTATCACAACGTTCAGGTCGTTTGATAGTGTTTAACGATCGCTTAGTAAGCAACATGGATCGGAAATGAGGAAATTACCTCTGACGAGACTTGAACTCTCACCACATGCGGGCTGTAAAAAATACAAAATACGGGTTCAAATCTTGTTGCAGGCAATTTGTTAATGGTCGTAAAATATGTAACGAACTGAGCATTGCGATTAAAAACAACAATAAGATGAAAGATGAAATCAGCTAAAAACAATTAAGAATAGATAGAAAATGACAGAATTGCACAGTGAGTGCGCATGCGCATTTGATTACGCATGCGTGTGTGTAAAGAGTTTTTAAAATATCAATATTTAAAAGAATCATTTTTGATCGGCAAAACAGCTATCAGAATATAGTAATTAGATAACATGTATGGCCATTTCAGTTTGCTCAATCTATAACAAGAACACAAGAATGACACGCGGTGTGGATAAAATTCATGCCCTAGCGAACCGGTTTCCACAAAACATTTCTAAAATATGCTAATAGCGAAGAACAATGTCGAATGTCTCTACACACGCATACACGTACGCACAAATACACACACAATATATATATATATATATATATATATATATATATATATATATATATATATATATATATATATACAGAAAAAAGAAAGAAAGAGAGAGGAAGTGAATGAGTTAGAGAAAAGAAAGAATGAAAGAGATTGATGAAGAAAAATATAAAACGCAAATAATCATAACTGCGTAAGTACATATGCGCATATATATGCGTACGTCTCAACGTCGTGTAATGGTTAGCAAGATTGTCTATCCTCACTGGGTACTCCACACTTTCAGTCTTGTGCCAGATCTAGGCTACGCTTAGAAAATCATCTGGGCACTTCGACGTGGTGTAATGGCTAACAAGCTTGTCTCGCTGTAACAATTATGACTTAGTAATGAGTTCAATCCTCACTGAATGTTTCGGCCATGAGCCACATCTAACATACGCTTAGAAAATCACCATATATATGTGTGTGCGCGCGTGCGTACCTGGATGTATTTGTGTGTGTATGTGTGTGATAGTGCGTGTATAACAGCGCGCATGCCTGTGTGTAGAAATACAAATCAGAAATATTTAAAGGGGGAAAAGAACAAAAAAAGGAATGAATTAAACAAATGATATAAAAAATAAAATAAAATGAAAAAAGATTTTGATTTGAATTAAAATTTCCTCTAAACGCCTTTTATCTTCCTTGTCTTTTTTTTTTTTTGTTTCTCTTTCGACCTTGCATTTTATTGAGTTTTCATGTCATTACCGAAAGCAATGTAAAAGATCGATATTTAATAGAGATATTTTTCTTAAGATGTAATTTGTTGTGATCAAGTGAGTTACAATGCGAATTGTATAACATTGACAGTAGCCTTAGTAAATTTATCTCAACATTTTTTCGGGGTGGAAAGGGGCCCTTCAACACTTTCTATGCCTGGAGATGCAAAATATTGTTTTATTAATATATATTTTTAAATATAGTTTCAAAACTAAAAACATTCAGAAGTGCTTATTTTAATAACCGCAAGATATATATACACACACACACACACATATATATATATATATATATATATATATACAAATGTAAATGAATGAAGAATAAAATTGCAACGTTCAAAATATTAATTTAAAACAAGGTTCAATACAAAAGTAGAGCAACAAATATTTATTATATACACTGTTACATTGATGAAACGTTGTTTATTAAACGTCGAAACAAAATGTACAATTTTGTAGTAGTAACTTACATGTTCCAATGTAACAGTGTATAATATATATATATATATATATATATATATATATATATATAAAAACAAAACAATAAGCTAAAACTTGAAGAAGCAATATATATATATATATATATATATATATATATATATAACAAAACAAAACAATAAGCTAAAACTTGAAGAAGGAATATATATATATATAATTATATATATAAACAAAAAAAATAAGCTAAAACTTGAAGAAGGAATATATATATATATATATATATATATATATATATATATATATATATATATATATATATATAATAAACAAAAAATACGCTAAAACTTGAAGAAGGAATTTACTCTATCGCCTGTAATAACTGTCACATAAATACATATGAGAAACCAGGAGGAATTTAATATATATATATATATATATATATATATATATATATATATATATATATATATATATATACAAAGGGACATTTTACAGAACAACGCATTAAATACATTAATTGTTCACCGTAACGAGACTGGCTAGAATTTTTGAAATAAAAAAATTCTTCTCTGATTAAAGGAGAAAAAAATTCACTAAGACGAAAATGTTTACAGAGTGCCTTGATCCCTAGATCATCCACAGTAACTTTGCACCCAGGCTCTTACAAAACTTACCCATTCCTGGCAGATCTTTATTATCACAATGTGTGATATCTCATAACAAAAATGATCGAAACAAAAAGAAAAAGAATCTAAATGAAATCGGCTACATTATATAGCCAAAACACTTAAAAAAAGGAAAAATATTTAAAAATCTAAAATTCCCAGCATCTCTCGGTCGTGCGCATGTGTAGCCGCACCAACGTAAGCAAATTTTAGGCCGATGAAGTTATAAAGTACGAAACGTGTCACGAAAAAACTTTTTTTACATTTTCTCATAGAACTTTTCTCCCAAATATATATATATATCTGTGTGTGTGTGTGTGTGTGTGTGTGTGTGTGTGTGTGTGTGTGCGATGTTTTAATTACTGGGAATTTGAACAACTCGTATTATCCGAAATTGATACAGAATTTTACTGCTATGATTCGAACCCACAAATCTAATAACTAGTAGTTTCCACCGTAGCCTTCTCAGTAGTACTTCAATGGAGACTGTAGAAATCGGGTGTTAAGTATTTTTTAACATGGTCAAATTCTTTGGGCTTTTCTAATGTTAATTTTAATAGGAATATTAGCCGTTTCCTTATAAGGTAGCGTTCTGTGTTCATTGACCGAACAGCCAGCGAAACCACAAGTTTCGAAGAAGGATTTTCTTCGCCAAAACCCACAGTTTTCACTCGCTTAGAGACATTTTTCACCATAGATCATAGAAAGTGGTTGCATACAGCTAACAGTTTAAATATTTTTGAACGTGTTTGGGACCATGAATGGCATTCATATGAAAACCTCGATCGGACGCGGATACTTAAGAACATGTTTTGAATTTTTAGGTTTAGGTTTTGGTTTTGTAGCAATATGCGGTATGGGATGAAACTAAATCTGGCGCAATCGGAAATATAGTCATTGCTGAGTAAGACAATCATATCTTCGGAATACATGATATAATTGGCTGAAATTAATACATTTTATTTTAAATGATTTTTAAAGATTAAGACATCGACTGCACGTGTACATTATTCCCAATGATTTCGATTCTTAACAATTGCTCAGCTAAAGTTTGTCTTGTGCCAGAAGAGGCTGGCTGATCTTTCTTCTAATATGACTTTATCAAATTTAACTTTTCCTTTATGGATCTAATTTTAAATAGATCGACCTCATTAAATCAGTAGTAAAACAATTTTAAAACTTAATGAAGATTCAAATTTCATAATAAAGTCGTGTCAATGTAGCAATAGAACGACGAATGTCTGTTTTTTTTCTTTTGCTGCCGATGTCAACTCACCGGTATTTTTTGATCGTCCCTTGGAAAAGGCAACATATATTTACTTGCTATACCATTTGTCTTCCTTGCTATTGTTTTTTCTTCTTTTTCCCCCCTTCCGTCCCACAACTGCCCGTAATAACTGCCCACTCAATGACTCCTAACCACTTGGTTCATTCTTTGAAAGTGTTTAATTATCAGCCATTTATCTTTTTTTTTCTTTCTCTGCCCATTTTTATTCTACATCTACTCTTTTCAGCTAGATAATAGTTTCGATTTGAAATTACTTTTATATTTATAACACTTGATGAGAAACGATTTAACAGAAAGTGCCTCTTATCGCGTTAAAAGTGAACTCGTTGTGATATTAATTCTAATTGCTGTAACCTCTGCTACATCCAGAATAATGAATGTCGTCGGAGAAATTCAAGTAGTAGTAATCGTAGCAGTAACAATAACTGCTACTTTGAACAGTAGCACTATTCAAAATAATAATAATAATAATAATAATAATAATAATAATCGATCTATTCTTTATGGGGAGAAACGTGCGAATAATATGTTGGTTGCAGATTAAATCGATTTAACGATTAGACAATCAAACTTTCCTCAATGTAATGGAGTGATTGTTGCCTTCGTTTCAGTAATAACACCGGCTGTTTAATACTAAGATTTTTTTTTCAAATTTACTGATGTCGGTATGCGCAGAATAGGATTGGTTTTTCAAAGATCGAAAAAGATTGCTTGTAGTTTCTGTAGCAAGACATCAAATGTTAGAACTATCTTTACAAAAGAGTTCTATTGTTTTGACACACTCGATTCCACTAGTATTGTCACCCTGGAAATCAATACGTTACTCTTTATTACACAGATTAAGATTTAGATTCGGAAGGCACATAGCCAAAATGGCGGGGATAAACAGGAGTAGAATCTTCATAGTAACGTCTTTCAAAATCGGCTTTGAGAATTTTGTCTATTATTTGGGCACGAATACCAAACAAACGGGCCAACGATAGGAAATATGTAACTATCTCAACCACGAAGACGGTATCTTGTTATATTCTTTTTCTTTTCATGTTCATAATAAATAAATATTTTTTTCCTTTTGCCCAATAGATGTCGGGTAGCTGTTACTAGAGGCTGAATGACTGTAATTAAAAAAAAAAATCTCCAGTACATTTCTCAGTATCTTTGAAGACTCCATTACTGTTGTGGTCAGAATAGTCGTAATACTTGTCCGAATGTCTACTTCCTCTAATTTCGGTTCTAGCGTATCTGGCACGTTTTTAAGTCCAGTAAATAATATGGGTACGATCGTAACTTTTATATTCCATATTTGCCTCAGCTCCCTGATAAGGGCCTGGTATTAATTAATACAGGGTGAGTGAGAGATTAGCACGTTAACAAAATGAGGTTGAGGTACAAATATTCGAAGCCCAATATACCTATTATGACACCCAGTGTAATAAACATATATCAAGTACACGTAGCACAGCCAAATTTGTGCGATATGTTGTCAAGGTATAATCTTACAGGTGAAAATGCCAGTTAGAAATGCCTTCGGTTCGGATAACCAAGTTTACACTGGAGAGTGTTCCCAAATACGTAATTCCCAAGTCGCTTTGCTTGTCACTTCCTTCAAACAGTGATGTAAGTTTGTCTGCTCTTAAGGGACATAACCATCCGGTTATGGTCAGGCATCTAACAAGCGATTCTATGGTACTGAACGCGATATTGACTGTAGCCTTTCATAATTCACTAAGACAAATATGTCGATGTTAACACTTCCTGTCAGTAATGATCAATAGCCTTTCAGGTATTTTCTTACGTTTAGATTTCTTCAATCCTGGAGCCGTGTCCAAGTAATTTCAACTATCTCATTTCTATTCTAAGTATAAATGTCCTTTTGGTTAACTTTGTTTTTTTAACTTCCTCGTTACTGGTATACTCCGTCTATAATATAATCAGCATCATTTTGGAGAAATCACATCTCTGTTGCTTCAAGTCGATGATGAGGAAAATTGTCCAGCATTAACTGCCATAGAGGATTATTGATATTAGCAGTTCAAAACTCCTTGCTGCTGACGAATTTTTCTACTTTTTTTTTCAGGCTTATGATCATATCACGTTGAAAAACCGGTTCTCGTAGGATCATCGAAGTTAAGCAACGTCGAGACTGGTTAGTATTTGGATGGGTGACCGCTGGTGGTGTAATGGATAAGGGCTTGGAAGTGGAAATCGAAATGCCGAATTCCAATTTCATCCCGGTTCGTTATATTCACTTACCCTTGGGAAAGGCATGAATCTAACTTTTCTCTCTCAGCTATGGTTTATTAGTAGAACATTATTATCTCTCAAATATTCTTACAATCTAAAAATATTTCCTGGCTTTAAATAACCTGCAAAAGGTTGATAAACAGTAAAATACAAATCAGTCAAAATTTCTGTTCTTTTTAATATATTGTTTAGCATTTGAAGAAAAAAAATTTGTTATAACAATACGTCTTTGGATTTCCGTGTCACATTTTCCTTTGCTTGTTAAAACACTTCCCAGATATTTAAATTTCTCTTCTTCTTCTTCTTCTTCTTCTTCTTCTTCTTCTTCTTCTTCTATTCCTAACTCATGCCTTTGTATGTTCCTGCTTGTGTGTGTGTGTGTGTTTGAGTGAGTGAGTGCGTGTGCGTACGCGCCCTCGTGTGTGAGCTCTTCGCCCTGTGAATAATAATTCATTTAGTTCTGAACTGAAAAGGCCCCTGATCTTGATTTAAGTTCCGTCTCTTATTTCTAGTTGTTCTTCCTCCAGCCAAGTGACTAATACCTGTTTATTGCAAATGAAATTCCACAGTTAGTGTGAAGCCAAAAGGTAACATCGTTGGCTATACCGAGACATATTATGTTCTACTGGAAAAAAAATTAATTAAAAACAGTTCCTTAGCTGTTCTTATCAACGTATCTGAATGACAATAGCAACAATTTACAACATAGCTTTTCTCGATGTTTTTATAAGCAACGAAAGAAATCACATATATTTTCATCGGGAACTGTAGGACAATTAGAACCGGAACATCCATATTTGTTTAGTCAATATTCAGAAGGGGAAGACGGAAGAGCAAGGAGAATAATAGTTTTCAGGAAAAAAATATGACGTAGAAAGACGTATTGAAGACTTCATGTGTTTGACTTGCGAAGCGGGCGAATGAATGACTGTATTTTTCATTAAAAAGGAAGGGACAACAGTAGAATAAAAAGATTGAGGATATGTGAGTGGCATATGTTTTCAGAAATGTAAAATGGCGTTCAGAAGGAAAGTTAAAAAAATGTAAAAATGGGAGTAAGTGTGAGGGGACAAAGTCTATGGGAAACTGAAAAAAAAAAAAGATTTAATGAATACGGAGATCAAAACAGAATGTGTCGAAAGCTCATTAGAAGAAAGGGAAAGACAATAGCAGTATAAGTAGTAGTAGTAGTAGTAATAGTAAAAAGAAGAAAAAAAGCAATGAAATGAAAAATAAAAATAAAATATTGAATAAAGAAATATATATATATATATATATATATATATATATATATATATATATAGTACACACACACACACACACACACACACACATATATATATATATATATATATATATATATATATGAACACTACGTGTACGAATATGAAAATAATTGTACGAATGCATGAAATATTTAATAAACAGCTTAAGTGCAGTATGTTGTCAGTCGTCTATAATGAAACTCCCCCTCACTCTCATATATATATATATATATATATATATATATATATATATATATATATATATATATATATATATATATATATATATAAATTCGAAGAGGATAGAATCCAGGTAGAACTCAATGTCCAGGACAGAGTAAGAATATAATATAAAAGGCCAAACACTAATATTTCATGGTTATAATTTATTATTGGAATAGTAATCACGATCCAATTCATCAGACCTACAAATTCGAAAAGATTTTTTGAATTTGTAGGTTTGATGAATTGGATCGTGATTACGATACCAATGTAATAGATTATAATCATGTAATATTAGTGTTGTGCCTATATATATATATATATATATATATATATATATATATATATATATATATATATATATATATATATATATATCACAGGACATGCGATCATGACCCTCTACAGATTCTTTTTCGTCTGTCAACTGTTATAAATTCTTGATAAAATATACTTTCTGTGATTTCTCTACGATATAGACTTCAGAATCTTCCTTGTATTAGACTACCGCCCAAGGCATAGGAAACCATTACATTGAGAACAAAACAGATTAGACTAGAATTTGAACTCAGCTCGACGAGTTCACTTTCCACGACGATAGCCCTTCCACCAACAGTACCTCCCAGGAGTGGAAAGAAACTTTGTAGAAATCAAACAGTGAAGAGGAAGCGATGAAACCAAAAATAATGAAAAAGAGAAATCAAAGAACTGACTAGAATCCTAAGAAGATTTAATAGAATTAATTGAAGGTTACACATTAGATGGAGAAGAGCATTTAATAACTGAAGAAAAAAAAAAAAAGAAGAAGAAGAAGAAGAAGAAGGAAAAATTAATTGAAATTCATTTCATAGGATTCAACTGAAGCTAAATACTACTTTCTTTCGGTAAGCTTCGGTCAACTTATACAATAAGTACATATCTAAATAAATACAATGCTAAAAGAACAACAACAACAAAAAAAGCTAAAATAAAAATAATATCAACCTTATTACTTATTTTCTCTTTATATCTCCTCACTCATTTCCCACAAGTCCTTTCTCACCCGCTCCCAGCAACCACACGCGCGCTCTATTTCTTTGCGCGCCATTGTAACTCTGCCTCATTTCATCTCTCTTAAATGCACTATTTACACATTAGCGAGTCCCGCGGCTTTCTCTCGAAATAGCTCCGGTCTATCTTCTCATCTGTTATCACCTTACAAAGCTATTAAACTCACCTTCACTGTCTGAGTGCAGCCATCGTTGACAGCTTATCTTATTGAAGTCTTGTCCTATGGTGACATTAATTTTATCGGCTCTAGGGAAAGACAAAGCCATGCGAAAATGTGTGCTCACCGACCCAGATCTAGACTTTTTAATTCCAAATCGACAGAACTAACATCATGATCATATCAAAATCCGATTTCGTTCGATATTAAATGTATCAAACATTAGGAACTCTTCTCTTTCTTTATCCTGAAGTTTCTCTCATTCTTTGTTATTTTTCCTCTTCGCATTTAAACTTATTTTCCTTTCAAGCAAGTGACGGCTTGCAAAAGACCTGTAAGTAGGTAAATGTTTATATGATTAGGTCTCTTGGCTCATGCTGATACGTTGGGGAAGTCTAAATGCTAAACTTGGCCATGTTTTCTATAAATGCTTACTGTAAGAACCGTTCAATATCTTTACCAACATCATCTGTGATATAAATGTCTTTTGATAAATTTTTATGAGAGAAATGCTGATTTTCTAGGTGGACAATACCATCCCATATCTGGAAGGTTGGTGCAGCACAAACTATTATCCTAAATTTCTACTTACTTGATCGCGAGGCGTTCAAAATTAGACAGGCAGACGCTACACAACCTTCCGATAATCTAATTAGTTCTTGCACTAGACTCAAATATATGGAGAAAAGATTTAATTCTGTGTAAAACCAGGATTTAGAATGATGATTTCCTAGGCAAACGGGTCAAGATTCCCTCTTTAGATGGAAGATTGGCGTTATATAATCTTCCTCTCTTCTATATTTTCCTATTTGGTAGTGTTCGTATTGTTGGTTGGTGTTCGTGCGAAGACAAAAGTCAGGATATGAAATGCAGGTAGCGTAACGGTTATCGGTGAGGAAAGTGGAATCAGCGGCATCTGTTCAAATTCAAGCCAATCCTGTTGCTTTTACTTTCCTGCAAATGCTCATGGAAAAGCATGAATGCATATCTTCTCGTCCTGCCTGCAACAGAATCTTTCGACTGTCCATTTCCTCCTATTTGAAAATATGTTTTACAAAGCTAAAGTAAATACTTAGAGCAAACCATTTCTGGGTGAAATTCGAATTCTCTCTACAGTTCGAATGCACAAATAAGAAAAAAACTTTAAATTGCACCATTATTAATTTCTTTCGCACGCTTTTTCAACCGGATTTTTTGACATTATCAAGTCGTACGAACTCAGACAGCAGTGTTGCGAGAATAATTGCAATGCCAAGTAACGCAGACTTCTAAAAACGATGAGATGCGAGGCTTTAATTTGATTTTCTAAATGAAGTTTGGAGGTATAGTTCATAAGGTTTTCAATTATTTAACCTTGATATGATGGTCACCAGGAAGAGCCACGCCGATGGGGTGATATGTTCTTGTTTCTTTGCCAACGACAGTAATATCTGGTTTCGCTGGCCTCAAAGAAGCGGTTTGATTGGATGTTGAAATACCACAAGATCTATTATCACTGTAGTTGTTGTTATTATTTAATCGTAGGAAGAAACAAAGATTCTCTTTTATACCTGCTGTAGTAAAATAGAATCAGTGAATAAACTTATACCAAAGCTTTATTGCACTTTACTCAGACTACTCATCTCTTGACGGATATAAGAGAGTGCATTTTATACCTCCTAGATCTTAAGGGGAGGTAATTGATGATTTATCTTAAGGGGAGGTAATTGATGATTTATCCGCTATGTATTATTTCTTTTTTCCGTACAGATATAAAGCACTTTTTTCTTTTTTTCTTTTTTTTACATAGGATCAAATTATAATACCTACGTAGGCATTGGAGCCAAATGTGCACGACATGGTGACAGGGGTTGATAAAAGTAGTGCATAATATTGCAGGTGAGGCACGGATAAAACAAAAAACAAAAAAAAACAACGTTCATTTGAGCAATCCAGTCTGCTCAGAAGCTCTTCGGTTGAGAGTATTCCTTCAAATCTGGATGTAACATCAAGTCACCTTGAAGGCCTCAATCCTTCGAAATTAAGAACAACCATCTCGCCACCCGGTTATGCTGAAGCCCCACAGGCCCCGCTCAAAAATAAAGATATACAGTGTCTTAAGGGCTTAGTAGACGTGCCGATGGTCACGCAATTGACAAGCAGATCTTTTGTACAGAACAGAATATTTACTGAAGCTCATCTTAATTCACCAAGACTAAATATGTACATAATAACAGCTCCAGTCATAATGACA